ACAGAAGCACCTCCTGCTCCCCAGGTGCCGTAGTGCGGAAGGCTCGGGGCTGCCCCGCTCCCCTCCATCCTGCCTCACAGCCCCAGAGCAGGGTCCCTGCCTTTGCTCCCATGGGCGCTGGCCATCCCCCAAAGTCCCCTCCGGGTACCAGGCAGGAGCCAGGCAGGAGCATCGCTGCCCAGCTCTCCCAGCTGCCCCACCTGTTCAAAGCCCAGCAACCAAAAGCTTCCTTTGCTTCTGGTGGCTGAAAGCCACATGTAAAAATATCTGCCTGGTGGGTGAAAATGTGGTTACAGATTTTTGCCCAGGAGGTGGCCAGCACAGAGCTGGGATTGTCTCCAAAAGTCCTCTGGCCCTGCTGCAACAGTCCTCCAGGGCACATGGGTCCTCTGCCCATCTTCAGCCAGCCTTTGCAATGCCCAACATCTCTCGCTCGTGCCGTCTCGGGTTGGGATGCTCTAGATCCACAGAGTAGCCCCCACACCAGCCTCCCTGGCCAGCACCGCTATTGCCACGCATCCCCCAGCCGTGCCCGCTGATGGGGTCCCTCTACCCCGTCACGCTCTGCCCCATCTCTCCGCAGGTTTCTACAATGGTCACACCAAGGTGGCCATCAAAAACCTGAAGCAGGGCAGCATGTCACCCAGCGCCTTCCTGGCAGAGGCCAACCTCATGAAGAACCTGCAGCACCCGCGGCTGGTGCGGCTCTACGCCGTGGTGACGAAGGAACCCATCTACATCATCACGGAGTACATGGAGAAGGGTGAGGGCACCGGAGTGCTGCTCACCGTAGGTGGGGGGCTGGGGGCTCTGAAGAGCCATGGTCCCTTCAGCTCTTGGCCGTTCCCATCCAGCGGTCAGTGCTGGCTTTTGTTTATTGAGCTGCTTTTGGCATCCTTTGCCTCTCTGCTCTCTGCCTTTTCCATCACGGCTCTCCCACTGGCTGGGAGCTCAGGGGTCAGCCCTGGCAAGGGGAAAAGGACCTTGCAGGCAGGGTGGTTTCCTGCCCAGCCACTCCTGCCTGCTTTCCGGGGGCTGTGAGATGCCCAGCCCCACATTCGGTGTTGTGCTGGGGGCCCGTGCCCCAGTGAACCCATTGCTGCAACACCCAGCCCCAACAGGCAGCATGGGCAGGGGAGGACCGCTGAGCCCTGCTGCCTTCATTGCAGGCAGCCTCGTGGACTTCCTCAAGACCTCGGAAGGAGTCAAGCTCACCATCAACAAACTGCTGGACATGGCCGCGCAGGTGAGGGGGGACGGAGTCGCGGGGCTGCTGGTGGGGAGGAATCTGCCGGGGCTGCCCTGCTCGGGCTGGCGGCTATTAATTGCAATTACTCGGAACTGCAGATCGCCGAAGGCATGGCTTTCATCGAGGCCAAGAACTACATCCACCGCGACCTGCGGGCTGCCAACATCCTCGTGTCAGACACCCTGTGCTGCAAAATCGCCGACTTCGGGCTGGCCCGCCTCATCGAGGACAACGAGTACACGGCTCGCGAGGGTGCGTCCCCCGTTGCCTCGGCCCCCCACCG